TCGACGTGCAGGAGAAGGAACGGGGTGGTTTTTAGTCAGTAAGAGTCTGACACTCCCTCCCGCCTCACCCAGGCGGGAGCAGACATTCGATGATTTTCCCCCCTTAAAAAAAAAGTATTTACTCCAATATCGGCAAGGGGTCTCGGGTTCGATTCCCGGGTCGGGCAAAGTATTACTGGGTTTTAAAAAATTCTCAGTAGTAGCATAGAGTCTGGAACTGTGCCCGGTATTATGGCAAATGTCTCACCCCCTATTACATGGGACTCATAACATAAATAGTGAAAAGTGGGTGTTACATTGTACAGTGGTATAATGTGCACCTTTGCCTACCCCTACTAGGATAAAATAGACGTGATGTTATAATAATCGTAAGCGAAAATCTACAATCGATAAAAATACGTAATATTACGAATGCATCAGACTAAGGCTCCCACTTGTCTCTGGTTTCAATACAATCATTCAAATCAAGTGTTTTGGCAAACTCCGTACCTACCTCTGTTACAATTATCATAAATGCAAAGGTCGTGTGTATTATATGTCTGTTACTCAATCACATCAAAACAGCTGAAGGGATCGGAATGAAATTAGAAACAGGAGTCGATTATTTATTTATGTAACTAATGAAAAACCAACTGCTACAGTTGGCAAACGAAATAACATCAGGAAACCAATCACAAGTTTTCACGGATTGATATTACGTTAACTAAAAATTGCGGGTTACTCACGTGAATATAATGAGTAAAGCTCTACTAGTTTGAACCACAGAGGAGTTCTATCCATATATCTTCCTCATGAGCAGCGTGCGCGATCGCGGCGATGTCGCGCAGCCTTCCAAATGTCATCGGGCGACTGGTTGAGCTTTTCTCAGTATATTCACGTGAGTAACCCGCGATTTTTAGTTCATTTAACATGTCTTACTATAATTATTATAAAAACATAGATATTAACTATATATACTCACAATTTAAACAAATGAATAGGTACTTTTAAAAAAATATTTAACAATAAAAAACAACAAGAGCACATATTAAAAGAACACACCCAAACCAAACTACCAACAATGCCAAATTAAATAATCCACAAAGTTCCACAATTTATCAATGAATTAAAAATCTGTGTGTAGGCATCCTTCAAAGTCAAAGTCAAAGTCAAAATTATTTATTTCAATTAGGCCAGAACGGCACTTTTGAACGTCAAAAAAATATTACAAGTGAAGCTATTTGCTCATTCCAAGGTGTAGATTCCTATGGAGAAGAACGAGCAAGAAACTCCATAGGTTACTCTTTTTCAATCAGGTTCACAATACAATTTACTAGTTACATAGTTTTGCTGTTTGGATTGTGCGAAAACAATGTAACACTAAAATCCAGTCAAAGTGATCAAAAAAGAAAGTAACCTTAAGGACAATAATACAGTCTGGAGCTGACCAGTCCCAGTTGACGGCGCCCGTTCACGAACATGACACGTATACCAGTACCGCCCAACTCAACCATATTGTAGGGAATCGAGCGATCCACTGCACGCGCCACCCCCAATGAGACCTTTGAGTGAGCATGACAACTTCAAGCTGACACAAATGAATTCTACTAATCTAATTTAATATTAAGTTAATTACAGGGCTCTCACATTTACATTGGTTATATAAGTTAAACAATATACAATTACTATAATTATACTTCGCACCGCAGAAGTCCTCGTTACAAATCTATTGAATACCCTTTACACACAGGTTATTTAAGTCTCTGCTTGCACGCATCATAAAGGAATTCTGTGTTGTCTTCTGGTCTTTTTTTTTTGAGGGGGAAAATCATACAATGACTACTCCCGCCCGGTTGAGGCGAGAGGTAGTGTCAGACTAAAAACCACCCCGTTCCTATTCCTGCACTTCTTGTCGGAGTCCCGGCAACCCGTTAAGTTTTCCGTGGCTCCGTATTGGCATTAGCCCTATTATATGCCATCTGTGATGATCTCCTAGCTCCTTGAGGCGCGCGCGGATCGTGACGCGACGTACGCTCGGGTCTGGTTCTGATTGGGCGGCGAGTCACCCGTGCTGGCGGCCCGCAGGCCCGTGCTTACGGCGGCCGGAGATCGTCTAGTGATTCCCGACGCCCGGAGTGTCTAGCGCGACTGTTGAGGCGTGAGGTTCGTCATGCGCTCCTCCTTCTCCTTAGCTAGCATGACTGCTTCGCAGGAGGAGGAGACGGCATCTCAGTCCCCCTCGGTCCGTAACATAATCTAAACCAGACCAGGACGCGAGAGATCGCCGTCGCCGATCACATCCCTATGGAAACGGCGGTGCTCAGCCCACGCATATACTCCTGGTCTGAAAGACTGAATTAACACATAAGCTACTTTTTATCCTACAAAACCGCGGACAAAACCGCTGGTAGAACTTTGTATATGATAATTAAATCGTTCTACAAACTCTGCAGTGAGTTTTAATAGTCTTCGAGTCTGCAATAGTTATCTACATACATTAAATACGTTTGCCAAATGCTTTTAAAACAATAACTGACACTATGAATCTTTGGATGTTGGTATAAAGTGGTTTATGGTTTAACTTGACAGTTGTTGTCACTAGCCCCTTTCTTTGAGGCGGGAAAATCATTCAATACGACATTTGACAACTATTCAAATTAAATACTTTTTTCGAACTGTCAATAACAACAGTTTTTTTAGATTTTGTACGATACTGTGCGTACAATACTAAAATAAAGTTGGTAATAAAATCAATTAATGAAAGTGTGATTATTTTTAAATATTTTTTTGTATTGAACAGTCTAAATAAATTATTTTTGATTAAGGAAAGTAACCAA